AGGAAACAGTCCTCCATAAAATGTGCTGCACACATCTGAATATTTGGGTTGAACTGTTCTGGAACAGTGTTGTAAATACAACTTAACCACTGATTTCTAGTCATGTCCATTTTTGGAAGACCAAACAAAGTAGTTTTGCTTTCACAACGAAACGCAGCGTCACACACGGCGGCCTAGAGTGAGGAATGGCGGGAGGGTTAGAGTGAGCAGAGGCGGCAGGCTTGAGAACGGCGCGACCGGCAGATTCGACGAAGAAGCGTCCGGGGGGCTTGCAGCAACCACATGTGGCGACCCCGGGCTGGACTCCGCTTCGTCCATGGTGAAAGCCGATTCGGTGAGCCACAGCGCAAAGTTGATGTATTTCCTCAGCGACCAGCACAGATCAGCTCCAGGCATGACGAAGCAGATATCGCCCTCTTTTGGAAGACCAAGCACAGTAGCTTCACTTTCACAACGAAACACAGCGCCTTCACGATATGGCGGCCACAACAATACTACAGCGAGAATAAAAGTTACACCTTCTTTCTTTGCGTGAACATTTGGGCGGCGTTATGCAAATCTTCCCACATAGTGAGGTAGATATGTGGGGGCGTGTTAGAACGAGCCGTTTTAGGTAGGTTTAAGGTCCCTACCTAAAGGCTGACTCTTAACTTTTAGTCTTTGCATTTTTACAGATCTTCTTTATGCACTAAGAGCTTGTAACACTCCAAAGAGAAAGGAAAAATTGAAATCGCATCATATGACCCCTTTAAAGAGATAGTTCACCCAAAAATTAAAATTCTGTCATTGATTACTCACCCTCATGTTGTTCCACATGTGTAAGTCCTTCTTTCATCTTCGTAACACAAATTAAGATATTTTTTATTAAATCCGAGAGCATTTTCTCCCCCCATTGGGAGTAATGCATCTACCACATTGAAGATCCAGAACGGTAAGAAAAACATCAAAGTACTCCTTGTGACTCCAGTGGTTTAACCTCAATTTTATAAAGTGACACAAGTGCTTTGTTTGCACAAAAAAAAAAAAAAAATTTATATATATATATATAGTCATGGCCAAAAGTTTTGGCAGTGACATAAATTGTGTGTTTTGCAAAGTTTGCTGCTTCAGTATTTGTAGGTTATTTTTCCACATGTTTCTATGGTATACTGAAAAACAATGATAAGCATATCATAAGTTTTGAAGGCTTTTATTGGCAAAACAATATAATGAGTCAATATTTACAGTGTTGACCATTGTTCATCATATCGTCTGCAATTCACTCTGGCATGCTGGATATTAGCTTCTGGGCCAAATCCTGACTGAAGGCGATCCATTCTTGCCTTATTAGTTCTCGGAGTTAATCACAATTTGTGGGCTTCTGCTTGTCCTTTTGACGACTGACCACAGGTTCTCTATGCCTATGGGATTGAGATCCGGGGAGTTGCCTGGACACGGATCCAAAATATCAATGTAATGATCTTCGAGCCACTTCTTTATCACTCTTGCTTTTTGACACTGTGCTCCATCATGCTAGAAAATGCACGGATCACCACCAAATTGCTCATGGATCATTGGAAGAAGTCACTCTAGCAGGATGTTTTGATATCATTCTTTATTCATGGCAGTGTTTTTGGGCAGAATTATGAGAGAGCCCACACATGGATGGTCTCAGGATGCTTCATTGTTGGCACGTCACAGGACTCATGGAAGCGTTCACCTTTTCTTCTCCGAACAATCGATTTTCCAGATGTCCCAAACAGTCGGAAGGGAGCTTCATCAGAGAAAATAACTTTGCACCAGTCTTCTGCTGTGCAATCCTTGTACTTTCTGCAGAATTTCAGTCTGTCCTTGACGTTTTTCTTGGAGAGAAGTGTCTTCTTTGCTGCCCTTCTTGACACCAGGCTGTTGTCCAAAAGTCTTGGCCTCACTGTGCGTGCAGATGCTCTCACAGCAACCTGCTGCCATTCCTGAGCAAGCTCTGCACTGCTGCTGACACAATTCTATAGCTGACTCCTCAGGAGGAGACGGTCCTGGCGCTTGCTGGACACTCTGGGACGTCCTGAAGACTTCTTCACTGCAATCGAACCTCTCTTTTGGCGCTTTTCCACTGCGTGGTATGACTCGGCTTAGCATGGTTCAGTACGGTACGACATGGCACGGCTCGGCATGGTTTGCGTTTCCACTGCAGTTCAGTACCGCTTTAGAGTGGGCGGGATTATTCACATGTCGTTATAGTTGCGCCGCCTCTACTACCACGACTCCTAAAAAACTTTTTCATTCCGCGTCGCCCCATCAAGCTCTCGCTGGATCCACTCCTCTGCTATCAACGAGAGGAATGTCTGTACTTCCTCAGAAGACAACGAAACAGCTGATCCGGAAAATATTCTTTGTAGCAATTTCCTTGCATGTGAGGCCATTTTGATGCAAAGCGATGATGGCTGCACATGTTTCTTTGGAGGTAGCCATTGCTAACAAGAACACAATGATTGGAAGCGCTTCTTCCTTCCTTTTATAGCAATCAGTCTACTATTACAATCTAATTAATATGATAGTGATTTCACCTGACTAGTTCTCATTCACACTTTTACATGTGCTGCTGATATTAGTCAATTAATGTTAGCTGGTCATTTTGTGTCAGGATCAAAAAACTGTGAAATTCATTTTTTGGCCAATGAAGCTTTTAACAATTATTTCAAATGCATCTGATCACGCTACACAATAATCTAGAAACAACGTGAATGAACACCACAACAGCTTAAGCAGCAAACTTTGCAAAACACAAAATTTATGTCACTGCCAAAACTTTTGGCCAGGACTGTATTGACTTCCACGGTTTAATTGTTCCCCACAAGACTAGTAATGTGCACTAAAAAAGTAAGTAGGGTCATTTTTGATTTCATGATGATTTTTTTTAACCATTTTCAATACCACTGACAAAACTACCAAATACAGTATACTGCCATTTCAAGGCAATCATTATTTCAAGCTTTGAGTGGTTTCATCCAAGTCTTCTAAAAACACACGTTTGCATATAAACATTGATCAGTTACCATTACAAAGATCTGCTCATTCTGTGTATTTGTGTCTTTAAAATTGGGTAACTTTGTTGCAAAAACTTACAGCACAAGGAAGCTTGATTTCAACTTCAATTCAGTTGAGGTATTTGAAACATGACAACACTGAGTTTTTATAAGCAGTGATTTAAGAGCCATATGTTACTTATTTAGATAAATGGAACATCAAAGTAGTGATGCAGTTAGACAGACTAGGATATTTATGTACAAATCAGACAAATATCCCATTCCAAAACATCTCTAGCATACTTACATTGTAAAGAAATTAAAGTTCCATCTTTGATTGATGAAAGACTTTCTGGTGCATTTCACTTAAAGCCAATAAAATTTCCAGTAGCATTCTCATCAGTCAGTCGTGGATCTACTCTGCATGGTTGATAACTTTTGACAAAGTTTAATCCAGGAGAAAAGAAAAATACTTTCTACTTTAAAAGCACGGAGAGATCATGATTTCACACAGTCTGAGTGCGCAAAAGAAGTTAATTTGTATAAGTTAGGCCTATTTGAGAGCTCGCATTCAGTTTTCTGTGATTACATGACTGTTCTCATGTTACAATAAAGCGCTCGCCACATTTGCGCGGGAATGATTAAAATTATGCGGAATACCTGCAATCCCACACGGACATTCAGACTCTGTAATCGACAGGAGCCGATGCATGTCAAACTCGCTGTCGGAGAGGAAAGAGAGAGACGCAGCTTGTATCTGTGCATATTCGTTATATACTGTTGAAAATGAGTAAAAGAACAGTGTCAGATATTTCAGTATCGGTATCAAAATATAGATATTTATGATAACACTACCATGTAGTTTGTTTCTCCAAACTTTGAGTCCATAAATTACGCTGAGCTTCCTCACTGTCTGATCAGCTCTTCACCTGCTGCAACGGCGGCTTTTCCCGGTTCAGATATCAGGGCTTTTATTGGTCCGTTAACGGTTGGATATCTTTATTGGCTACTGAAGTGCGGTCAAAGGTTTGAATATTAATTCAAATTGCGGGCGTACTCAGTAACGAACTATGATTTAAAAGTAACAAAGTAGATTATTTTGCTTAATTTGTACTTAAGTACAAGTACAGCTTTAAAAATATACTAAAAAAAGTACTAGCCGAAAAAAAACTACTTAATTACAGTAATGTGAGTAGTTGTAATTCATTACCTCCACCTCTGCATAAAAGTCACCAAGTTTTGTACCATTGTGATAAAGTATGATTTTTAAAACATCAAAACATCAAAATCTTTTGACCAAAAGTGACTAATGAGCACCAGAGGGTTAAATTTGAATAGACTCCTTCAGTCATTTTTATGTTTGTGTCTGATTTTAATATATATATATATATATATATATATATACAGGTGCATCTCAATAACTTGTGAAGTTCACTCAAATTCTTGAATCGATTTTGCTTGACAATCCTCATAAGGCTGCGGTTCTCTCGGTTGGTTGTGCATCTTTTTCTTCCACACTTTTTCCTTCCACTCAACTTTCTGTTAACATGCTTGGATACAGCACTCTGTGAACAGCCAGCTTCTTTGGCAATGAATGTTTGTGGCTTACCCTCCTTGTGAAGGGTGTCAATGATTGTCTTCTGGACAACAGTCAGATCAGCAGTCTTCCCCATAATTGTGTAACCTGGTAAACCAAACTGAGAGATCTTTTTGAAGGCTCAGGAAACCTTTGCAGGTGTTTTGAGTTGATTAGCTGATTGGCATGTCACCATATTCAAATTTGTTGAGATAGTGAATTGGTGGGTTTTTGTTAAATGTGAGCTAAAATCATCACAATTAAAAGAACCAAAGACTTAAACTACTTCAGTCTGTGTGCATTGAATTTATTTAATACACGAGTTTCACAATTTGATTTGAATTACTGAAATAAATGAACTTTTCCATGACATTCTAATTTATTGAGATGCACCTGTATATATATATTTCTTTCTTTTTCAGAAGGTGATCTAAGGATTATTCTCCTGGGTAAAACTGGAGCAGGAAAAAGTGCAACAGGAAACACAATCCTGGGCAGAAATGCATTTAAAGAGACCAGTGAAATATGTGAGAAACAGAAAGGATATGTGGATGGGAAGAACATTGTTGTATTTGACACTCCGGGACTATTTAATGCATCTATCACAAAAGAGCAAGTAAAGGCTGAAATAGAGAGGTGTGTAGAGATGTCTGCTCCTGGTCCTCATGTGTTCCTGCTGGTGATCAAACTGGGGGTTAGATTCACAGAAGAAGAGAGGAACTCAGTGCAATGGATTCAGGAGAATTTAGGAAAAGAGGCTTTGCTTCGTACCATCATTCTGTTTACTCACACTGATCTGCTGAAGGGTACATCTTTAGAGGAGTACGTCAGGAAAAGCCACTATTTACCAAAACTAGTTGATAGTTGTGGTGGCAGATATCACTCATTCAACAATGAAGATAGAAACAATCAATATCAGATCACAGAACTGCTGCTGAAGATCAATGCATTGACGAGAGAAAGTGGAATGAGGCATTACACTCCTGAGATGTTCAGAGCAATCCAGACAGAGATTACAGGGAAAGACGGAATGAAGTTAAACATTACACATATTTTGAGTGTTATCATAGTGATAGTAGCTATATTTCTAGGAGCACAGCAGTGGAACAATAAGCTTCAAAAGGAGGAAGAGAGACTGAAAAATGACATCGAACAGATGGAAAAGGAGGTGAAGCAACTGAAAAATGAGCTCCAAGAGAATAAACAGAGGGAGCAGCATCTAAAACTAGATCTCCTACAGAAAGAACAAGAGGAGCAGACACTGAAAGAGAAGATTCAGAAGAAGGAACAAGAGGAGAATCAGCTGAGAAATGAGCTCTCACAAAAGGTAGAGGATGAGAAGGACCTGAGAAACAAGATAGAAGAGAAGGAACAAGAGGAGAAGCAACTGAGAAATGAGCTCTCACAAAAGGTAGAGGATGAGAAGGACCTAAAAAACAAGATAGAAGAGAAGGAAAAGGAGGAGAAGCAGCTGAGAAATGAACTCTCACAAAAGGTAGATGATGAGGACCTGAAAAACAAGTTACAAGAGGAGAAGCAGTTGAGAAATGAGCTCCGACCGAATGAAAGGGAAAAGCAAATGAAAAATGAACTACAGACAGAAGAGAAGCAGCTAGAGCTAGAACATAAGCTCCAACAGAAAGAACAGGAGAATCATCCCCTAAAAAAGCAGCTAATACAGAAGGAACAAGAGGAGTTGCAGCTAAAAAATGAGCTGCTACAGAAGGAACAGGAGAAGCAGAAGCTAAAAAAGAAGCTGCTAGATAAGGAACAAGACGAGTTGGAGCTAAAAAATGAGCGGCTACGGATGAAACAGGAGAAGCATCAGATAAAAAAAGAGCTTGAACAGAATAAACAGAAGAAGCAGAAGCTGGAAAATGAATGCTTACAGAAGGAGCAAGAGAATCAGAAGCTGAGGAATGATCTCCAACAGAAGGAAAACGAAAAGCAGCAGCTGGAAAAGAAGCTCCTACAGTATAAACAGAAGGTGTAGTAGCTGGAGGAGCATCAGGAGGAACAGCAGCAGCAACAGAGAGATCTACAGATGAAGCAGCATTAACATCAGCAGCAGGACATGTAGCCATATTCACCACGTTTACATGTGCACCAATAATGCGATTATTTCCAATGATCAGAGTAAAGGCTTATACACATTAAGATGTTTACATGACACAAACCTCTTCACTTCCGTTTGCATGCAATTTTCATTATTCTTATTATTTGCTAAGAAGTGTGGTTATTTCTTTCACCATAAATCACATCCCCACAGCACAAATGATGAACTCACATACAGCAGGCGAGATACTGCCCACTGTCCACTTACATCAAATGCAATACATGTCTATAGACCTAATGTGATATTCACTGCAGTGCCTAATAACCAATTTCACAAAGTTCCATTATATGTATCTCTCTATACCTCACAATGAATCTATTATTTACTTTGTGTATATTTTTCTTTATAATGAGAGGGTTGACAAGCTTGCATAACTCAGCACTCAACAAAAACTCCAGCATTTTGAGCAACGAGTGGATTGTAGCTGAATTGTCTCTGATTGGCTGTTGCGTTCAAGAAATGAACATATTTGTCTGATTGACTCCGTCTGTAACGCTGCAAAACATGTTGTAATTATAACCCTTTGAAGCTCTTTGTGTGCAAACTCACTGGATCTTTTGCCAGATGTGTTTCGCCAATATCAGATTTTCACAGCTTCAACTGAGAGTGCTCTTGTTTTCGCTTGACTCCTATAGAACCGTGCCTGCTTGGGAATAATGTCAAGGAGTTCATTCACAAAGTTGTGTGAATAACAAATATTATCCGTGTATATCCGAGCGCATGAACACTTTGGTCAGAACGATAATAATGTGATTAAGGTGTTTACAATGCCTGTTTATTGCGATAAGCCACAGTTTTAATGCAGTTATGGTTACAATGATTATGAGCTTAATCACATTATTTTGATCAAAGAATTGCATTTACATTAGGTAAAGTTTAATTGCAATATTGCTGAAATCCCAGTAGAATCGCATTATGAGGGTGCATGTAAACGTAGTCATTGATTAGATTAGCAGTAGTAACTGCATTAGCAGCAGCAGGAGGAACAGCAGCAACATTAATATCAGAACGGAAAAGACTTAAGATTTTTGCATTGTATTTAAATATTTCCTATGTACAATTTCATAGACCAATTGCTTTATATGCATTATGAAATGATGCTTCTCTGTATACACTGAATATATTGTAGTTTAGGTATGTCATGTTTCTGTAATTATTAGTTTTAAACTGTCTTGCATTTTCATGGTGGATATTAACATGTATAGCATTATTATAAATATTCGGTTATATAAATAAAAAATAAAATACAAAGTAGCGTATTGTAAAGCAGAATGTTTTCTAAAACATTCTTTCCTTTTTATGCACATTAAACACATTACTAATATCTCTTTTTAAAGCGATTTTTTTTTATCATGTCTGGCCTACAGGTAAAAGAGCAATCACCTTGCAGATTAACCGATTCCCTCATGAGACTTTAAAATATGGATAAGCATTAGCTGAACTAGTCAGATTTCCCCCCCCCCAAACATGGTCACATGGGAAGTTGGAATGTTGACAGTATATATAAATCATGTCACTATCAAATCAAATCAAATATCTTTATTGTCACACACCGTATACACAAGTGTACCAGCTGTGAATACACATTTTACAAAATAGACAGTATATATTATATACACAGAATATACACAAGGAATACACAGCATACATAGGAAGAATGCAGTTGCAGTAATCACTGTGAAGTATAATATTGGTCTTTTGTTATAGAGAGCAGTTGATGTGATGTGATGTTTAGCGCAAATAGTTTTTAGAGTGCAGAAGAGAAATTATGTAGCCTAATGTAGTTATTGGTTAGAGTTCAGCAGTCTGATGGCCTGCGAGAAGAAGCTATCTCACAGTCTGCTGGTGCGGGTCCTGATACTACAGTACAGTCTGCCTGATGGTAGCAGTGAGAACACTTTATGGCTCAGGTGGCAGGAGTCTCTGATCATTTTCTGGAGGAAGGGATGCTCACCTCCAACAATGTGCTGGGCCGTTCAAACCACTTTCATTTGTTCATTAGATTTTTTTTTTTACAACATGGGCCAGTAACTTTAAGATTCAAATCTCAGTTAAATTATAAATTACAAACATGTGTTTCAATAAGATATTAGAAGTGAGGAAAGATTGAAAGATATGATAGATTAGGTCAATGTAAGTCATAATTGCACATGCATTGTGCATTTCTCTTAACTGAATATATAATAATAATTATCACAACTTGAGTGTACATTTTATGAAGAACAAATGAAGGTCCAATAGAGGAGAAAATCTGACTCCACAGACTTTGTTCCATGCATGCACTAGTCAGACTAATGAGGAAAAATTACACTTTTTTTCTACTTTGAAGAAAAAAAAAAGTGTAAGTGCAATTCTAAGACAGTGGTAAAGGACTTCATTGCTAAGCCTGGTTCAGTATTTGTTTTTAATAGTTTTCATTGCATGTATGTATTTGATTCCACCAAATCAGCTTGTCTTTGTAAAATGACACAGCATCTTAAATCATTGCTTCTTAATCAGTCAATCAAGAATTATATTATGATAATTAAGCACTATTTAATGATAGAACTTTAGTGATTAGAACTAAAACTTGGTAACCATGTATGAATGCATATTTGTCATTTTAACTGAACTTAGGACTGATGGTGATGCTTAAGATATTATTGGTCATTCAGGGTTTCTGTAAAAAAAATTATAGTAATTATTATTAAAAGATAATACTACTACAAATTTTACTACAATACTAACAATATAACGCACTAAGGATTGATGAGCTGCTGGGATCATGAATATTAATCACTCTGTCAGCGTTCGCTCGAACTGATTTGCTGAAATCAAAACAGGGATGGTAATACATGAGCGCCAGCCAATGAGATTGCTGTTTGCATATTAGTTCCGCCCACTACTGGAGAACACCAGTTCTTAAAAGCTGAAGAATTCTAAATGAACCTTTTGTTTTTTGACAGGAAAATACAACAAAGAATATCGTTTACGTGTAGCATGTCGATTCAGCGTGATATGGAAGACTCTCGCTCTCTCTCTTTGCACATGTGAGAAACGGCACTATCAGCAAAGCAACGACAAGTCATGCACCTTTACACTAGAGTTTACCATGTGTCAAATACAGGTGTGCTGCGCATCCATTGAGATGAATTGAAAAATAGCACAAATCACTTCACGGAGAATGAAACTCTTAAGCGCTTACAGTGTTCGGCGAGTGAAAATTTATCTATGCTAAACTTGTAATTAGCCTCTAACACACACACACTAATGAGTGAAATATATGAATTTATTAGCCAATGGCTAATGATAGACATTATTTAGTCGCCCAGAGTGAAGATTTAGTAGCATATGCGAGTGATTTACTCACATTGTAGAGGGTTAACTCAGTGACATTAGTGACCAGGGATGGGTTCTGTATGATCAGCAGCAGTTGTCCTCCAAGTACAAAATCATCAAAGCGAACCTTGAAGTTGTCCTTCAGTTTTTGTATGAAATTACCATGGTAGGTCATACCTTTCTCTCCCTGGGTTTGCTACAAAACTTTGGAGAAGTGGAGAAGTTCACCTTGGAGATCAGTCTGGATCAGTCTTGAAAATCTTCAATTTCCTCTGGAAAGCATGGACTGTTGTTATCAAATCACAAACTGTGTTATTTTGTCCCTGCAGTTTAACATTGAGCTCATTAAGATGTGATGTCATGTCTGCCAAAAATGCAGCTATTTGCATCTTCTCCACATCTTCCAAAAACTTTATGAACTGAGTTGCCTTTTCATTCTTTTGTTCTGATAGGAAGGCTTTGATCTCCTCCAGAATAGCTAAAAGTGCTCCAAAACCTTGCCTTTGCTGAGCCATCTGACATTGATGTGAAGTAGTAAGTCACCATAGCTGGCATTGACCTCTGTCAGTAAGCTTCTTAGCAGACAATTTTGTAGGGACGATGATGCTCTCAAGAAATTGTAAGCATTGTTTGAAATTAACACCTGCCAACCCTCAAAATGCAGGTAAAAATCAGTTGTGGCAGGGAATATTGTCAAATCACTAGCCAATTTGGCGGGTTACTTTTCTTCACTCATTTAAATTATTGGGGAAGTTAATGTAAGTCAAATATGTGCAGATTTAGTGCAAATATGGAAACTCGTCAGTCATCATGATATATTAAATACAGCCTAATAGGGTATATGTCGAACATCACCTGACCAAACCTGGAAAACAGGTCTAATTGCTTCCGCTTGTCGGAGAATGTGTTAACAGCCATATTAAATAATAGCGATATCTATGGACTTTTAAGATAATCAGTTAAACTAGCTAGCTGTTTTTACTGTTGACGTTTTATTAAATTTTTATATCTAAATGTGAAAAGAATAAAAATAAAAAAAACTTTTAGATATCAGTCCGCATATGTTATGGACATTGGTTATGATCATCATTGGTATCTACTTTGAAGACATCTTGAGTAAAACTGCTTCATATTTAACTAAGCATATGCAAAACGCTTGAACCGGAAGCGACGAGACCCAGTTAACAGAATACGGAAGTCTGTTGCGCATAACCCCTATTGCGCAGCATCTGCTTACATGAACATACCCTTCACTATGCAACAAATAATGGCGCGCTGGTTTCCTTTGCATTGAAGCAATAGCAAAGACTCAATTGCTCTCTGATTTTCTTACTGTCAAGATTAACTCTCCTGATATCATGCACTTTGATCCCACCAACATTTTAAATTTAGTTGTATCAAATTTAAGGCCATAAAAGTCTTAAATGGTAGAACAAAGTATTAATTAGGATTTCAAGAGGTCTTAAATTTGGGGATCGTTCTTCATTCTTCTGGACCTCATTCAAGTCTCGTCAATTCTCTGTCTACCTGCATTTCTTCTCACTGAATGAATTAATCTT